CCTTCCATGCTAAGTCTCCAATTCCACTCCGGAGTCGTCCGAGTCTGCCCATTCTAACACCTGTCCAGGTTGCATAAGGGCCCTCCCCCAGGAGGGAAAACCCATGTCGAGGGGAAGAGGGAGAGCAGTAGGCAACTGATGGCAGACCCCCAAATGGGGACCACTGCCAGAGGCAGTGGGCTGCTGAGTACCTCAGCACCCTATGGGCAAGCTACCCTGCAGGGAAGTGTCCACATGTTATATGAGACTGTTAGAACGGTGTTGTGGGGACAAGTCCATGCAGGTCAAACCAACCCTTATCACGCATTTCACCCCCTACTGCATCAGGGACTAGGATTGGTGAGTCGTGGTAATAGTAGGAGTTGTAGAGACTGTGGAGGTGGTTCTGACGAGTTCAAGATCGTCGGATTTGGTGGAGTGGTTGAGGAGATATGACTTGTTCTTTATTTTCCTTACTATTTTCTTTCATTCATGCATGTGACTTTCCTTTTATATTTCTATCGGACTCTTCCATGACAACTGTACAGACAGTTAGTTAGAGGTTAGAGAGAGTATCAGCACCGTACTCGCAGGACCCACATCTACCTAAGAGATAGAGAGATACCTACCCCCCAGGCCTGGGTTGCGAGTCTAGATTGATAGACCCATTACAATGGGCAGAGTTGGATGACTCCGGAGTGGAATTGGAGACTTAGCGTGGAAGGACCTTGGCCTCAGCGACTCAGGCGGAGCGCTGTGCCATTGCTGGTTGTCCTGGGGGTCCCTAATTTCGGATCTAGCAGAGGGAAAGTCTCTAGGGGGCATTTCAGGTCAATTTCAGACTGAGGTTACAAGTTACTATGTACATTGTATATAAGGAGGGGTCTGGAATCAAAAGGAGCAAGGGTACTCCAAAAGGAGACAAAGGGAGCTGGAAGGAGGAACAACACTAAGGGTCAAGGGGTTGACTCAATGGTGTTTCCCAAAGGAGGAGTGAAGGGCCAAGGCCCAAGGAGGAAGGAAGGAGGTTGGGAGTGGGGAATGGCTAGCTGACTGAATAGAAAGGAAGCAGCAGCCCAAATAGGAATGAGGGAGAATAGCGGAATTGAATAGGACAATGCAATAGTTGCAAGGTCCGATGTAAGTCCGGAAAGTCCGAACTCGGAAGTTAAACTCCGGAATATTGGCAAAGGCAATTAAATGGAATGAGCTAACCAATACAATGGATATAAGCAGAGGTGAGGTCAAAGTCCAAGGTTGGAGCTAAGACTGGAGGTTCCGGAGACAGAGCCTACGCAAATGGGATTCCGGAGTGGAGGTCCGGAGTCGGGAGCATAGGTGTTGCATACTCATCTGGAAGGTGTTGAGGTTGGGGTCAGACCCGGAATGTTCCGGAGTCGGACCAAAGGTGGTGTTGGAGCTGGAGGTGGGATAACCTCTTGGGAGTCGGCAAGGAGGGAGTGATGGAAGGGAAGTAGGACTCCGGAAGTCAGGTTTGGAGTTCCAGGAGCCTGGAGCGGAGGTCGGGATTGTACGGATATGACAGAGACCACCAAACTCAACAAGTTCAGCAAAGTCAAAACTCCTGTTGACATAACAATTGACCCCAACTTCCCCATGAGGAGAACAGTGGGGTCAGAAGTGGTGCATGATGCTGCATATGCTTGGTGGACAAGTGTGAGTGGAAAAGCATTCATACAATGGTACAAACAGGCCAAAGCTGCCTTTAAAAGCAGCAAGGTACACAAAGACCTTCATGAAAAAGCAAAGGAAACCAAGAAATATTTCTTGGAACTCCTGAGTTGGCTGCTATAAAAGGGAAATGTACTGTACGTTCATAATGTCACTATGGGCAGAAGCCAAGCATGTTCCTGCGATTTGGAAAAGGTGTCACATGGGTTTGCATGCAGGCTGTAGTTTTGAGTGGTATGTAAGGATGGGAAGATGAGGGAAGTGGGGAAAGTCAGGGAAGGTGGTTCTGGGGTTGTATGGTCAGGTGTGGTTGCCCTGACAGCCAACCCAGGAAGTGCCCACTTTGTTGAGTCCACAACTCAACAATGTAGCCCAGGCTACAGCATCGCATCCAACATGGCAATCAGATGTCCAGATGAACAACCTGGAGGAAAACCCTCCTCCAGGGCAATAACTCTACCCTTGAAGAAAGGGAAAGTGACATGGTAATACACCATTGATGTGCCCTGTTAGATACTGGTCCTCAGTTGGCACCGAAGGTTGCCAATGCAGGCCGCTATAGTCCGTGATTGCTGCAATGCTGCAAACAAGGCCTGAGGGGTAGGGCATTCGGCCTCAGCGACTCTAAAAGGAGTGCTGTGCCCCCTAGTTGCCTCTTGGCCCTCATTTCAAACTTACTGGAATTGCCTTGTTAACTTAAGGGGGGAGATCAAGTTGATATTAGAGCTAAGGTACAATAATGTATCATGCAGGGTATAAATAGGAAGAGAGAATGAATAGAAGCGGACCCGGGCCGAAGGCCGAAGGGTCCGGAAGCAAATAGAGACAAGGAGCGGAGTTGGCTGCACAGTGGCCGGCAATGACCGAGGGTCAAAACAAACAATAATAGGTAAACAAAAGGAAAGAACATAGGGCTGCAAAAGCGGCAATGGTATCGGAGCAGTGCTGCACTCGGAGTTGGGCCAGAGTCAGGTGCGGGAATGGTAGCGGCCCCTATGGGGCCAAGTTGGCTGGATAGGCGATGTCACGGAGTCACGCCAGGTGTGGGGCTGGAGGTGGACTCAGGGCAGGGAGGTTGGTGTGGCTGTGGGGAGTCAAGGGGCAAGCGGGGGAGTGAGCAGGGGCTCCTCAAGGAGAACAGGGCTCAGGTCAGGGCTCATGCTTGTGCAGTGGGAATGGGCTCAGGCGGCATTGGGACGGGCTGGGAATGGGCCGGAGTGCATGGTCATGACACACCCATGAAAACACCTTCCTCCAACTTGAGGCCCTGCACACAATATTGTATGCAAGGAACTGCAAGTAACAATTGTGGAAACTTCTACTCCATCTAACCCACATCCACCACTGCCTGCCCATGTGTAAACACCATTGACACATGACTCCTCACAGAACAAGTGAGGAGGAATACCAAAGATATATAATCTTTGGGTCAAAATCTATTTTCGAAACATCCTTCTTCTATTTTCCTCTCTTTCCTGAAAAATCCATGTATCACCTTTAAAGTAACGGCCCACACCCCTTCATTTTTTTTCCTCCTTATTTCACATCCTCTTCCTAAATGTACACATTGCCCACTTTAAAGTAGCAATAACAAACTCTCTTTGAAAAATAATGTTCACCTTGAACTCATTTCTTCCTTCTTAAAACCATGTACATATGCATTGCACATGCATGCAAAGGGGGAGAAGGTCAGGGCAATAGCCCTGAACCCTGAGCCTGATGTAACAACAGTGTACATAGAGTCATGTGGCTAAGCAGCAACTTCTGGTAACCACTCAACACCATCGTAAATTACACACCATTGTAACACTTATGGTCTGGTGTGCTGAGCGACCCCCCTGAGACCTCACATCTACCCTGCCAAAGACTCTATTTACCCTTGTGTTGTCCATTTTATTGCTGATTCTGAGAGGCAGCTTTTCAAGGGCATCAAACTCTTGTTAGAGATGTGTCGCGGATTCAGACGACTCCGGAGTGGAATCAGAGACTTAACATGGAGGGACCTTGGCCTCAGTGACTCAAGTGGAGCGCTGTGCCATTGCTGTTTGTCCATTTGGTCCTTAATTTCACAGTAGGCGAGCAGGAAGTCTCTAGGGGGCATTTCAGGTCGATTTCGGACTGAGCCCAAAACGAGTATGTACAAGCGCCGATATATATAATGGAGGGGGAAAAAGCACAAGGAAACAAAGGGGATCTGAATCGGAACAAAGATGTCCGAACGGGAACAAAGGGTGGACAGAAGCGGAGCAGTACTGAAGGTCATAAGGCAGGACCTGTGATATGTCTGAAAGGAGGTAGGGAGGGTGAGGCCCAGAGGGGCAGGAGGATGAGGAGAAGTGGGGATGATGACTAACTGGCTAGAATGGGAAGAAGCAGCAGTCCAAATAGGGATGAGGGGAAAACGTGAGAGATACATTACAAGCGGCGAAAGTGCCGAAGGTGATCTGCGAAGCTCGGAGGTTGCGGAGCTTATGGAGGTGGGGTTGAAAGTCCGAGGAATATTGGCAATGGTGTTTATGTAGTATGAGGTCACCAATGCAATGGACTAAGACTGAGGTGGAGTCAAAGTCCGAGGTAGGGACTATGACGGAGGCTCGGAGCAAAGGTATGAGCAGTGCCTGAGTATGAAGTATGGGACAGTGGTGGAAGGTCGTAACTTGGCAGGAGGTTGGCGGAAGAGTACCAGAGGGGAGAGAGAGGAGAAAGGGAAGAGGGAAGGAGTGGTGGGAAGGAGAGTTGTCAGGTCCGAAGGTGAGTATCAGAGCGGATGGAGATAGGGGAGGAGAGGGAAGGAGGAGTAGTAGTGGCATTGGAGGTAAGAGGAGGTGTGTTACCAGGACCGAAGGTGAGTATCGGAACAGACAGCAGTAGGGTAAGACTCCGGAGGTGGGGAAGGAGGAGGTCTGGAAGTCGGGTCGGGATCGGGTATGCACGGATATGACAACTCTGATCAACTGAGATGTTGAAGAGATCAGGAAACCTGCCTCAAGAAGAGTTTGAGTCCATTTTCTGGCAGCCAAAAACTGGTCTTTTTACACTCAAAGTGGCAGAGAGTCCTCCTGCTCCCCCAAACAAGCTGACTCCAGAAGAAAGTAGTAGTCAGCGAGGTGCATGACATCACACAGTAGCTGTCTGTGACTGTTTTCCATTCACTTTGTATATACTCTAGAATAATTTGTAGCATATAAGTTCCTGCTGTATTTTACGTTTGCTGAGCTTATGCCTTGCACTTGTGCCCAGCCCATAGGTTTAATAATGACACATGCAATATTTTCATTGTAAGATAACCTACATATCCTTCCAATGATTGGTTGTGATGTTTGGGTCACTCAACTGGGCAACATCTGTATCCATGTAGCTATCACATCCTTGTTGTCATTCACTTCCAACTTGTCAAGCAGTTGGACCACTCTCCTGGCAACCTTTCCTACATCAGCCCCCCTGTCACAAAGCTCATTTCCAATGGTGCTAATCATTCTCCAGTGTTGAGTAACATCTAAGACTTCAGGAGGTGGCTCCTTCTCAGTAATGTGCAGGGCAATGATGTCAATGTTGACATGTTTTCTTCCATTAATGCCTTCAAATGAACTGCTGGCACCATTTTCGATGCAGCCCACCACACTGAGTTTCATGCACACCTGAACAAGGTGTCAAAGGTGGGGGGCTCACTGCTTAGGCTTGATACAGATGATGGTGCCTCCAATGGTGCCCAGGATGTTGGACCTTCATTTACAGTGAGGTGTGTACTTCCATTAATCTTTAACACTGGTTGAACTTTGAGGGGAGTACTATGCAGTGTTGGATGGATGAGCCTAATTGGAGGGATGACCATTGGCATATGTGATTCCGGAATGGTTTGCTCCAAGAAGACACCGTTTTCTGGGTCATCAGGGAGTTGCAGCCCATGTCCTTGCTGGAAGCCTGAGTGTACACCTGATGGGAACGTTGTCAGGTTTATTACCTCTAACTTTACTGATGATGAAGACCTGCCTGGTTCAGGTGAGTTGCGAGGTGGTGTCTTGGGTACGATGCCATCATCCTGTGGACCTTTCATCTCATTCTCTGGTACCATGGCTTCTTTCATTTGGTTGTGGCCCCCAGGTGTCACATGGGGAGGTTTTGCCTTTGTGAGGGTGCATGTGCAAGTGGCTTTGGACTTCTTGCATCGCTTGGAAGACAGGGATGATATTTTATTATCACCAACCGAATCTCCTTCCATCTCCACAGTTGGGGGGCTTGGCATGCTTTCCTTATGTTTTTGGGTTCATGCTAGGATGACTGCTGTCTTTGCAATTGCCCTCCTTGTCTTGTGTTCAGGCAATATGTATTTCATAATGTTCCCATTTGCATCTGGTTGCATAGTGTAGCACCTCACGCTTCAGGTACTCGTCTGGTAAGCCCAAACCAGTGGGCTGTGTTTTTTTGAAGTTTCATTGACATTTTCCTCACCATCTGTCATTTGTTCCACCCTCAACATCTGCTCCGGATCCTGGTGAATGAGCTGCATTATACACCATGCAGACTCATGTGGGGTCCAATCACATGGTAGTGACTTGTTCAAGCATGGGACACTATGATGCCAACCAACAAAATGGAGATGACGCTCAAGCATGAATGAAAGTATGTTGGCAACTCTCCAGTTGTGCCCAAGCTCAGTCATCCCTGTTGCCTCCACTACAAGTAGATGTCAGATGAGCAATCAGACAGCATATGGGCTCTATGCAGTACAATATCATGTGACATGTAAATAACAACAACTAACCAACTATTACTACCCAAAACACCTGATATCCATGTTATTGTAAACACATCTGTTACAACACCTGTTACATTAATTGTAACATCTTCTCAATGTCACGGCCCCCTCCTGCACCTGAACGCTATAGAAATGGGCCAATTAGGCCCCATTTTTATAACATGCCCACCACACTCAGTGCAGCATTGGGGATGCAAGCCATAGGTCTTGTCTGCAAAGGCAAGGCCTTCCTTCCTTTTTAATGTGGGTGTGTGGTAATCCACATCGTTTGCATCACCCTCAACCTCTAATTTGATGGCCATGATTCCTGTTCCATTTCCCAAATACCTGTCCAGATCATCACTGAAATGGACACTTTGCTTCATATGCATCACAACAGTCTTGTCAGGATCTGGACCCCAGCTGGGAGTGGCCAGATGTCAGGGACAGCTCCAAAAGCGGCAAGGTCCCTGTGCGCAGGACTCGGTGGGACAAATAGCGGCTGTGCATAGTGGCGATCCCATTGCGGGGGGAGCGTCCCCGACCACTTAGTCTGAAGTGGGAAGTTGAGAAGAAGGCTGCTTCTTCTGTTCCCACTCCAGGCACTATTATATACATGTGGCTAGGGTCATGTGGAGGAAGCCACATCATCTCTGCACACAGCCGCACCTCCCTGGGTGTCTCTGTGGGAGATCCCGAAGGTGGCTGCTCAGTAGGCAGGAGTGTGCGCGGCACATGCGGCGATCAGGGGGGGTGGGGTTAGGTATGTAGTGGTACATGGAGAAAGGGAAATCAACTGTAGAATAGAAATAGAGAGAAAGGGGAAAATGGGGAAGGAGAGACGGGGAGTGATAGCGGAGTAGTGCAGTACAGCATGGGGTGCGGCATGGGGTCAGGCAGGTGTGCCCTGACACCAGAGGATGAGGCCAGGTGTGGAAGCCGGGGTTGTCAGAGACCAGGTTGAGATGAGGGAGTGTCTCCGTGGCGGAGGGCTTCGGCCTCAGCGACTTATGCCAGGAGTGCTGTGCCAAGTAACACATCCGTGCCCTAACTTACTAAACTGGCAACCAGAACTGAAGGGGGTAAACTCTAGTCGATTTTATTACCGAGGTGTAACCTATGTACAAGTTGAGTATATATATAGTTACAATGAGGGTGGGTCCACAAATGGTGGAGCAGAGCTAACGGGGTTAGACATTAGCTGATTGAATATTACCGACAAGTCGGGTTACGGGGTTAATGGAATGGTAGGCGATAACCCAGAAATGGAAAGGAGGGATAGGCCCGAAGGTGGGCTTGCAGGGCAAGCGAATGTATTGCCCAGCGGAGGTGGGAGTGCGCTAGCGGATGTCAGAGCTGTCCGGAAGCCTTCAGGGCTCCATACTTAGGGAGGCATAGGTAATAAATTGAAAGGAGGGGGTGGTGACCATCGAGGGGTACCGAGGTGATTGCAGAATATGGGAGCTCCGAGGTTAGTGAAGAAGGAGTGGAGGTAGACTGGAGGGATTGGAGGGAGTGGAAGTTGGTGGCCGGGGATGTGTCAGAACCATGTGAATCTTTGCCGATGGTAGCTGTAGGCGACTGAACATTGCCTGCTAGTGGTACAGGCATCCTACACACGACCAAGCTTTAGCGAGGGATAACTGTCAGGTCACGGTCCATGTATGTAGGGGGTCATGTGACCCAGGGAGGTCACTATCATCCTACCCACTGTGAATCATACATATTTGATACTCACAGCTGGGTTCTAGGACACCCACCTTACACCTTTTTGAGTACTTTTTGTCTGATATCACACTGATCCCTGGCATCGCTAGGAACCACCACAATTTTATGTGGAAAACAAGTGAGTTCAAACTTTCATTCAAATTCCACTTGCCACTCCGGCAAGCAAAAGACCCTTGCAACTAGCAAGGAGACAAAACCCCCAGTCAATAAGACTGGGAAACAGGTGAAAGTAATGCCAGCACAACCCCTTATGTGCCAGGCAGAGCTGTCACCTGTAGCAGGAGAACCTCCTTTCACGAGGGTGCGCAAATTCAGTCATCAGAAGACCCTTGCTTTCGCAAGGAGATGACTTCTCCTGCACTTCACCCAACTCAGTTGGGTACAAAGGCTTTGTGTGATGCCTCCCAGTTGTGCAGGGAGCCAAATCCAGGCAAAACTTATGTGGCAAAACCTGCCACATCATCATTTATGCCCAGGCTCCTCCACCCGGGCCTCAAAGCATTACTCCTCCCATTCTATGTGATGGGAAGGCATCAGAAGCAACCAAACGATTGCTCCTGCTCACACAGGGAGCTGTTTGGAGCTCCAGAAAATGTGGAAAAATCGTCCACATCTTCAGATTCATCTCGCATCACCCACGCGACATCCAGCTTGCAATATTGCAGCAAGCCGGTTCACTCCCAAGTCTATTTGACTGGGAGTTACACAAAACCATCAAACGATCACTCCCACTGGCACAGGGAGCCATTTTTGATTCCAAAAAATGTGGAAAAATCTTCCACATCTCCAGCATCGTCTCGCATTAACCGTGAGACGTCCATATTGCAATATAGCAGCAATTTGGTTCACTCCCCAGTCTATACAACTGGGAGTTGTCATGAACAACCAAATGACCATTCCTGCCTGCGCAGGGAGCCGTTTGGAGTTCCAAAAAATGTGGAAAAATCGTCCACATCTACGGAATCGTCTCGCATCAGCCGCGAAACGTCCAGCTTGCGATATAGCAGCAAGCCGGCTCACCCCCCAGTCTATGCGACTGGTAGTTGTACAAATCGATCAAACAACAGCTCCTGCCAGCACAGGGAGCTGTTAGTGATCGCAAAAAATGTGGAAAAACTTCCACAGTGTCTACATCGTCTCACATTAACTGTGAGACGTCCAGCTCGCAAAATAGCAGCATGCTGGTTCAATCCCCAGTCTATGTGACTGGGAATTGTGCAAAACAATCAAACAACAACTCCTGCTCGCGCAGGGAGCCGTTTTTGATTGCAAACAATGTGGAAAAAATCTCCACATCGTCGTTACCATCTCGCAGCCATAGTGAAACGTCCAGCTCGGCGCCTAGGCGCGAGCCGGTTCAAACCCCAGTCTACAAGACTGGGAATCATCCAAAACACTCATGGAATGACCCCCGCTTGCACAGGGAGCCAGTCCTGAGTGAAAGAAATGTGGAAAAAATCTCCACATTGCGGTCATCGTCTCACAACTGCAGTGAGACTAGCGCTTCATCCAGGAATGGGCGCATCCACTCTAACATGGACAAAGAGTCCATGTCACCCAAATCGACACATAAACCCGCATCGATTTCGCCTCTATCCAAGGCACTTCTGGACTTTGTCCAGTTCCCACCTGAATGGAGGGTGGGGAGTACAGAACAGATAATCACCAGACTAAAAGTCTGGGAATCGATAAGGAAGACCAAGGCACACAGTCAGTGCCTTGGGAACCCCAGATCTGGGGGACAACCATCGTTGCATGGACTTAACATGCGCGATATTTCTTATCCTTCTTTGGATATGCGGGAGCAGAGGGGATTCTCCCAGAATATGGTGGAATGGCACCACATCGGGCCACAGGATGACCACCCACACTCAGGGCCAGGTTCATCAGGTGGTGGGAAGTGGTCTAGCCAATTACCCTTTGGGAAGTCACCCATTGCTGAAGCAATGCCAACACCGGTTTTTCCTCTGGAAAAACCTCATGGTCTATCCATGAGAGACAGAGATCACACTCTCTGTAACCTACTCTTGGGGAAAATTTTTCAACTTTTTCCCTTTCATCATCTGAAAGGGATACCACTATACCGTCTACTCACTATGGGGAAACCCACAGTGATCCACCTGTCCAGCCAACAGATAAACCACCCCCAAGGGAGGTTAAATTCATCATCTGACTTTCAGATGATGTGACCTTACCCAATACTGGGTAAAACCGCTTCCTAGATCAGGAAGCAGGTGGAGTGATGCCAGGTCTCACAAGGCCAATCGTTCCTCTGGCCATACCCTTATATGGTGTCAGGGCAATAGCCCTGAACCCCGAGTCACATGTAAATTAGATACACATAGTCACGTGGGCAAGCGGGAACCTCCGGGTAACCGCTTACACACCACCATAAAATACACTATCTTGTATCACTTACGGCCTTGTGTGCTGAGCCACCCTAAGACCTCACACATAGACCGAGGTTCCTACTTCGAAAGCTGGGGCAGGACTCCGACAGGAGTCTGCCGGGCCCTGATAACGGATCTGAGCGAGGTGCATTTCCTTGTGAAGGAAGTGATGGAGGGAGTCGAGATCTACAGAGTACTCCTGGGTGCATACTGATGTTAGGTCTCGCTCTGGGTGAACGGTGATGTTCGGATGGTAGCCTTTGTTGGCAAAGAACGGAGAGATGCCTGTGGTGGCATTCGGAGCATTGTTTTATGCAAACTCCGCAAGAGGCAGGAGTTCAGACCAATTGTCCTGCTGGTAGTTACTGTAGATGCACAGGTACTGCTCAA